GATAATGACTGTCGTGGTACATAGATCACCTTCTGTCGTCGTACATATATCACCTTTTGTTGTGGTACAAATTACGATGGTAATTTCTACCATGCAAAATGGTAATTTTGCTTGGTAGTAAATGTATTTTTTTTGTATATGGAGGGCTTTGATTTTTGTATGACATATTTTGTATGGAATTATTATCTTAGTTTAGACAAAAGTTGATTTGTATGGACTTTGATATTTAATGTTATTTATTTTTGGTATATGGATGCAGATTGCGGAATGTTTGATAGTATATATCATTTTGTTTTTATACGTATTACAGGTTGCATTATATATAGATAGGTTGTGGAGAAATTATAATTTCGCGATAAAACGAAATATCATGTTTTTGGCGACTAAATAATTAGTAGCAAAAAAGAAATTGGGAAAAGACATTTGGCGACTAAAAGTTATGTAGCAAAAAAAAAAAGACCATTTGGTGAACAAAAGTTTTGTAGCAAAAAAAAAAAAAGGACATTTGGCGACTAAAAGTTTAGTAGTCAAAAAATAAAAATAAAAAAATAATAAAAATAGACATTTGGCGACTAAAACTTCAGTAGCCAAAAGAAAATCAAACATTTGGTGACTAAAATATTTCGTAGCTAAAAACAAAAAGCTAAATTATAAACACATTTTTGCCGACTAAAATTTTAGTAGCCAAAAATGTAGACTTTTAGGTGACCAAATATTTAGTAACCAAAAGAGGAACTCTTTACCGACTAAACATTTAGTAGCCAAAGATAGGGACTTTCGGCGACTAAATTTTTAGTAGCTAAAAAGATGGGACTTTAGGCAACTAAAAGTTTGGTCGCTGAAAAGGGTCTACTTTTATTTAATGTCCAACCTTTTGGCGACTAAATATTTAGTCGGCAAATGAATACATTTGGCGACTAAAACAATTAGCTTTCCGACTACTCTTCGGCTACTAATTTTGCGACCAAAAAATTTAATCGCTAAAGCCCTTTGGCGACTAAAAATTGACTTTTGGTGACTAAAAATTTAGTCGCCAAAAGTGAAAATTCCTGTAATGCCCACACTTTGAAATTAAGGTTATACAACCACTCTGGGTTTACAAAGAGTTTATCTAACCTACTTCACCTCTCCCCTTCCTGTGAATTACCCCTGGTAAATTTTCTTCCAAACATTGGTAAATCAGCTCACTCCAATTGGTCAATCATTTCATTGAACTCCCTCATCCCCCTATCTGCAAAAAGGGCAAATTTCATTTTACGTCATGTGATTTAAACCAAGTGCAATTTAACCTCTTAATTTTTGAAAATGACCACATAATCCCTGCATAGTTTCTGAACAAAAGTACATTATTAAACATTCCATCAAATTTAATAGCAAGTGTGAAACATGTGACAAATATAAGGTGGTTATACTCATTTTTAAATTTTAAAGGGATAAATCACAAATAGAATAAAACACAAGGGTTAAAATACACTTTGCCCTCTAAACAATTAATGAAAATATACATAATTTATATACTAACGTTACTTATATATAAGGATATTTTAGTCTATTTTATTTAAGTCTTAACGACCCTAATGATGTGCTTCAATCTATAAATTATAAAGATTATGTAGTCATTTTCAAATATTAAGAGGTTAAATCACACATAACTCAAATTATAGGAGTAAAATGAAGCTTCTCAGAAGTAAAAAAATTACATTTTACAAAAAATAGAGATAATCAAAAGATTTTTTAACAGAATTTCACACCACTGGTCATCGTTTAGATATGCGTTTATTATAGAATTATTCCAAAAAAATGCCCTTTCTATGAAATCATTCATGGCAACCACTATATGTCATCCTTTATCTAATCATTCAGCTCTCTCTTTTTCAAAATTGCAGTGATCTCGCAGAAAAGTTATTTGGTTGTTCTGAGACATTGTCCAATGATGCTTTATGTGGTGGGTGAAAGGATAACATTCATGTGGTGGGTGAAAGGATAGCATTCATAATTTTATAGTGAGCGATTCAGAATTATGACAAGACATAATGATTTAAAATTAACAACAATGATTCATCCTATTAAAAACACCACCACTAATAGCACTAATGTATTAAAAAATTAAAAAAAATAAAAAAATAAAATACAACTCCAAGACCAAAACATCACATCACTACTGGTGAGACCACTGCCACCTAATTAGTGGAAGCACTAATTAATGCTCCCAAGCATTTTCCTAAAACTAATTAAGAATATAGTCACATGACATTCATGTATCAGTATATAATTTTTTTTGTCTCCCGTATGTATGGGCCCATTTTTCAACAAATTAAGTACCTTTCTAATTTATTTTTATTTTTTTTTTGGGATCAAATTGGGTACTTATCCGTTGTAAATCATTGAAAATAATTTTACAGTAGTGTTACATTTATATAATTTTTTTTCCCATAATTTCTCTAATTAGGTGGTAACATAAAATTTAAGGAGAGTTCTCCTTCATTAGGTGGCAAGACAAAAAATGTAAAGAGAATTATAAGGAAATATTTAAATGTGAGCCAACTTTTTAAATTTTGTTTGTCACGTTATTTTATGGGGTTTGGTGGAAAAAATTTGTGTAGATAAATTATTTTTATTGTTTTTAAGTGATTTCTATATCCTTGAACTATATGAGTGATTTTTTATTTTTTTTTGATACATAAAATGAATATGCAGAAAAGGTACTCCACATATCCGTCAAGGAATATTATTTCTCAACACTTACGGTGCATTTGCAGGAAACTACACTACACCTATGTCGAGACTGAAACTAAGACCCTTACATGTTCTAGATACTAAAAAAAATATGTTTAATTCAAAAAAATAAAATAAAAAATTGTAGAGACTCGAATTTAAGTTTTAAGCGGGTAAATCCAAGTCTAATCAATGAAGCAGCAGTTTTTAATAAACTATATGAGTGATTCAATCATATTACCAAACACTAATACAAAATTAAAACGTGACTGATGTGACATTTAACACGACTTAAAAACTTTCCATTAGATTAATCAGAATCACTGAAATTAATCACCAAGTGGATGGTCCATTTTCCAACAAATTGGCAAATCTGATATCATTTTAAAAACTTTGTAAAAAGTCAATTTTTGAATTTTTTTTTTTTTATATAAAAAAAATCATAAAAAATTGAATTTTTTAACATAAACAAGTTAAAAAATCACAATAAAAAAAATTTTAAAAGTTAATTTTTTATTAACTTTTCAAAACACCATTCAATCATATTACCAGATCCTAATATAAAATTAAAACATGACTGATGTGACATTTAACATGATTTTGAAACTTTCCATTAAATTAATCGGAACAGCTGAAATTAATCACCAAGTGGATGGCCTATTTTCCAACAAATTGACAAATATATCATTGTCCAACAAATTGACAAATCTGATATCAGATAGTATTTAGGGGTTGTTTGGCTTTTGAGTTGGGTTAAAAAATTATTAAAAAATAAAAAGTCAAAAAATTATAAAAAGTCAAAAATCATAAGAGGATAAAAAAAAATCTACTATTTCAAAGTTAAAAAGTCAAAAAAATCAGTTAAAAATATCAAACGAACAAAAAAGTCTCAGGTTAAAAAAATTAAAAAAAACTAAAAAACGAACTAAAAAAGTCATTACCAAACAAAGGCTTAATAGGCTCAGGCTTCTCTCTCGTTAGGCCCAATTTGAGCGTGTTATTGGTCTTTTGTGGGCTTATTACGAAATTCACATTGATGATTCGAATCATTTAATACGTAGAGACTCGTCGAGTATTTTATTTTGTGAAAAATTGCACTCATCATATATCGATAAATATTTGATTAGATCACGTTTGTGTTAATAATTTATTTTTAAAATTATAGTTACTATTGACATAAATTTAATATAATTAAGTGGCTATCGATATTTAATTAATGTAATTCTTTACAGAGATAGAATAATCGACAAGATGTACATATTGAATGGTTCGGATTGTCAGTGTAGGTTCTGTAGTAGGTCTACAGAACCTAACAACACGCTCTAGTCCAATTTCAAACTGGAGAGAAATTGTCCCCTATTTAATATATTAGAAATGCTACTCATGACGAAAATTCATTAAAAAATTAGAAATCTATTTTACAGAGTTAAACTACCAGCGTCAATCAAAATCATAATAAATCAATCAAAATAAATCTTGTTTTTAAATTTTAAATTCTAAGCATTTGTTTTTTTAATAAATTTTATAGGTAAGTAACATTGCTTTTATTAATACAGTTTTGAGAATTCAATTCTCAAGTTCAATTTTAAAATTTTTTAGGCAATAACTCAGATTATTATTATTTTTTAGGTCAAAGGGATAAAATAATTTAAAACATCATATAATTTATGCTTATTTCACCACTTATCTGTTTAGTATTATTTATTTATCCATATAATGACGATGGTAGAGAGGCTGAGGAACGAGACAAATCTTTATGAAGATCAAAACATCGAGACTGTAGGACTAAAAGTAAAGAACCAAATGCTTGAGCAATCCATAACATTTATGAAGCAGCTTGTTGTGGGTTTGCTCACAATTTGTATTGTTCTGTCAGTTGCATTACTCTTCAAATGATTGAAGGTGGCTTTTAGATATGTGTGTTTTTGCTCAGTTGTGTACCCAATGATGAGACGTCTATTGTAGTAATCTTATGTTTTATGCTAATCATGCCATGTATGGTTATTTTGTACTAGTCTTATGTTTTAATGCAACCAATGATTAATGAGTATGTGTTAAACAATTTTTTTTTTGTTTCATAGAATGAGTACCCAACAGGAAACACAATCTCAAAATAGGCAGAATAAGGGAAAATCCTCTCAAGTACCATCTACTAAGGCTCATTGGGATGCAAAATCAAATGAAATCTTTATTAAGCTTTGTGTTGACCAAGTGAAGGTCGGACACAGACCTGGTACACACTTAGATAGGGGGGGTGGGAAAATGTCATAACTTCGTTTAAAACTATGACTGGAAAAACATACCAACGACTACAAATGAAAAACCATTGGGATGTGTTGAAAAAAGATTGGCTTTTGTGGAACAATCTTTTAAGGGGTGAGACCGGCTTAGGCCGTGACACATTGACTGGAGCTATATCTGCATCTGATGAGTGGTGGACCAACAAATTGGAGGTATTTAAATTGCTTAATGTACATATTATGTTTGTTTTTGTTGTTTAAACGCACCAAATTTTGATAATTGTAAATTTTTATTTTTTTCTTTGTAATTGTTGCAGAGGTATCCTGATGCTGCTAAATTTCGGCGTATGCCGTTGCAATTTAGTGAAGACTTAGATATACTATTCTCAGATGCAGCTGCTACAGGAGAATGGGCATACACTCCTAGTTCAGGGGTTATGCCTGACGTTGATGACAATGAGGAGGAATTTCATACCCCACATGATGCTGAATATGATGATGATGCTTTGGAGGTGATTCATCCCTCTGAGTTAAACAAAAAGCGTTCATCAAACACACCTGCTTCATCAACCAAGAGCAAGAAGACGAAATTTACTGGTGCAGCTCTACTTAACAAGACACTTGCTCGCATAGTCAATGTGGTTGAGTCATCTTCAGGAACTTCAACACAGACCTCATCAAGATATCCTTCAATTGCAGATTGTTTGGCGATGTTGGAAAACATCCCTGGTGTGTCCCCGGATGATGACCTGTATGTATGGGCCGCCCGATTGTTCTTACGAGACAAGCGTCGGGAGTGTTTCATGAGTCTTCCTACGGATGAAGTTCGCCTTAAGTTTCTGAAGTTGGAGATTGAGATGGAGAAGGCCACCACAGGTTATCGCGGCTAATTGTGGACTGTCCCGTTGTTATTAATTGTGGCGTGTTCTGTTGGACTTCTTATTTTAGTAATTGTGGACTATTGCAATATTTCCCTAAAATGAATATTGACTAGTTGGACTTTTAATTGTGGACTTATTATTTCAAATTTTATTAAATTATGTTGGACTAAATTGTTGAATGGTTGGTGAATGGTTGACATGTTGACTTGTTGACTTGTTGAATGGTTGGGGAATGCAATTAGTTGTTGAATGTTAGTTGAATATGCCTGGTAGGTCAATGGTGAAGGTTATATATATGTATATGTAGTTGAATGGTTTACTCAATTCATTTTTGTGCTTTACATTGTTTTTCCTTTACATTTCAATCTGTCTAGGTAATAATTTTGTTGAAGTTAAAGGTATAATTTTCTTACTTTACATTTTAATGTTTCACCTATGTCATTTTTGTATGGCCATTATTTGTTCATATGACAGGTTAAAATGTAAAGCATGAAATGTATGACAGGTTGCATGAAATGGATAAATGGATAAATGGATGACATTATTTGTTATGACATTATTTGTTCATATGACCATTATTTCTTTATTTGGGATAAATGGATGACAGGTTGCATGAAATGTAGCTATGGAATTTTTGTGATGGAATACTACTTTTTTAGTCCCATAGTCATAACAGTCATAACAGTCATAACAGTGCTTCTTTCCAATGGAACTGCTTCTTAAACTGTCATCACAGTGCTGCTTGCTTGAATTGCATTCATGTCCACAAGCTCAATTGTCATAACAGAACTTCATAGTAATTTTGATCTGTTTGAATTTCTAGATTCTGGGTTTTGACATATGAATTCCCATGTTAAAGAATATGGGTATGAGAGGGTATAACTGCAAAATTAGATTCACAGAGACAAGGGAGAGAATAAGGGAGGAGGAGAAGGAAGTATATATGTGGAATTCTTCATAAACACATGCCCATGAATTTTGACTTCTGGGCATAACTTTGAATTTTGATAACTTTTTTATTATTTTTTTTAAACTACCATGTAACCATGTAAGGACTTTCTAATAAGCCATGAATGTTGGGTAAAACAAGTTTTGATCTTTTTCTTTATGAATTGTTGTCCTCTGACACTCTGTCCGTCCCCTTATTCATTTCTAATTTTTATTTTATTTTCGTCCTCTATCTGTCCATGCTTTGTTAAAAGGGCGATTATGATTACATATTTTAGTAAAAAAAAAAATTAAAAAGTTATATATTGTCACATCACTTTTTATTTCTTTTATATATTTTTGTAAAAAATAAAAATTTATTAAAATAACAACAATGATTCATCCCACTAAAAACATCACCACTAATAGGTATTAAAAAAGTAAAATAATAATAATAATAATAATACAATTCCAAGACCAAAACATCACATCATTAATGGCAAGACCCACTACCACCTAATTAGTGGAAGCACTAATTAATGTTCCCAAGCATTTTTCTAAAACTAATTAAGAATATAGTCACATGACATTCATGTATCAGTATATAATTTTTTTTGTCTCCCGTATGTATGGGCCCATTTTTCAACAAATTAAGTACCTTTCTAATTTATTTTTATTTTTTTTTTGGGATCAAATTGGGTACTTATCCGTTGTAAATCATTGAAAATAATTTTACAGTAGTGTTACATTTATATAATTTTTTTTCCCATAATTTCTCTAATTAGGTGGTAACATAAAATTTAAGGAGAGTTCTCCTTCATTAGGTGGCAAGACAAAAAATGTAAAGAGAATTATAAGGAAATATTTAAATGTGAGCCAACTTTTTAAATTTTGTTTGTCACGTTATTTTATGGGGTTTGGTGGAAAAAATTTGTGTAGATAAATTATTTTTATTGTTTTTAAGTGATTTCTATATCCTTGAACTATATGAGTGATTTTTTATTTTTTTTTGATACATAAAATGAATATGCAGAAAAGGTACTCCACATATCCGTCAAGGAATATTATTTCTCAACACTTACGGTGCATTTGCAGGAAACTACACTACACCTATGTCGAGACTGAAACTAAGACCCTTACATGTTCTAGATACTAAAAAAAATATGTTTAATTCAAAAAAATAAAATAAAAAATTGTAGAGACTCGAATTTAAGTTTTAAGCGGGTAAATCCAAGTCTAATCAATGAAGCAGCAGTTTTTAATAAACTATATGAGTGATTCAATCATATTACCAAACCGTAATACAAAATTAAAACTTTTTAATAAACTGTATGAGTGATTCAATCATATTACCAAATCCTCATACAAAATTAAAGCGTGACTGATGTGACATTTAACATGGTTTTGAAACTTTCCGTTAGATTAATAGGAATCGTTGAAATTAATCACCAAGTGGATGGCCCATATTCCAACAAATTGACAAATCTAATATCATGAGTGATTCAATCATATTACCAAACACTAATACAAAATTAAAACGTGACTGATGTGACATTTAACACGACTTAAAAACTTTCCATTAGATTAATCAGAATCACTGAAATTAATCACCAAGTGGATGGTCCATTTTCCAACAAATTGGCAAATCTGATATCATTTTAAAAACTTTGTAAAAAGTCAATTTTTGAATTTTTTTTTTTTTATATAAAAAAAATCATAAAAAATTGAATTTTTTAACATAAACAAGTTAAAAAATCACAATAAAAAAAATTTTAAAAGTTAATTTTTTATTAACTTTTCAAAACACCATTCAATCATATTACCAGATCCTAATATAAAATTAAAACATGACTGATGTGACATTTAACATGATTTTGAAACTTTCCATTAAATTAATCGGAACAGCTGAAATTAATCACCAAGTGGATGGCCTATTTTCCAACAAATTGACAAATATATCATTGTCCAACAAATTGACAAATCTGATATCAGATAGTATTTAGGGGTTGTTTGGCTTTTGAGTTGGGTTAAAAAATTATTAAAAAATAAAAAGTCAAAAAATTATAAAAAGTCAAAAATCATAAGAGGATAAAAAAAAATCTACTATTTCAAAGTTAAAAAGTCAAAAAAATCAGTTAAAAATATCAAACGAACAAAAAAGTCTCAGGTTAAAAAAATTAAAAAAAACTAAAAAACGAACTAAAAAAGTCATTACCAAACAAAGGCTTAATAGGCTCAGGCTTCTCTCTCGTTAGGCCCAATTTGAGCGTGTTATTGGTCTTTTGTGGGCTTATTACGAAATTCACATTGATGATTCGAATCATTTAATACGTAGAAACTCGTCGAGTATTTTATTTTGTGAAAAATGGCACTCATCATATATCGATAAATATTTGATTAGATCATGTTTGTGTTAATAATTTATTTTTAAAATTATAGTTACTATTGACATAAATTTAATCTAATTAAGTGGCTATCGATATTTAATTAATGTAATTCTTTACAAAGATAGAATAATCGACAAGATGTACATATTGAATGGTTCGGATTATCAGTGTAGGTTCTGTAGTATGTCTACAGAACCTAATAACACGCTCTAGTCCAATTTCAAACTGGAGAGAAATTGTCCCCTATTTAATATATTAGAAATGCTACTCATGACGAAAATTCATTAAAAAATTAGAAATCTATTTTACAGAGTTAAACTATACCAGCGTCAATCAAAATCATAATAAATCAATCAAAATAAATCTTATTTTTAAATTTTAAATTCTAAGCATTTGTTTTTTTAATAAATTTTATAGGTAAGTAACATTGCTTTTATTAATACAGTTTTGAGAATTCAATTCTCAAGTTCAAATTTAAAATTTTTTAGGCAATAACTCAGATTATTATTATTTTTTAGGTCAAAGGGATAAAATAATTTAAAAGATCATATAGTTTACGCCCATCTCTATCTATCCAACCTCCACGTATTGGTCTACATGTCATCAAGGTCTACCTATGTGTCCACTTGTCATTTCTTTATTTGTTCACACTTTACCTATCTATCTACCTAATTTGTCTATCTATTTATATTACCACCACCACTAGTTGCTACCACCGAGCTTTGCCAACAACTTTTCCGATTATCTTTCTAGCACCGGCCGATGATTGTTTGGCGATTGTTTGACGGTGGTGACTAGTTGCTACCACTTGAAACTAGAGAGCGTAAATGATCAAAAGACATATGACCTAACCGAGAATGCCATCAAGGAATAAAGAGAACTAGTAGTAGTAGGATCAACAATCTAGATATAGGAAAGACATGATAAAGGAATGTGAAGATGGAAAGCTCCTACAGACGACCATGTCTACGACTTATTCTAAGAGTCTGTCTCGTCTTTAAATCCTGCACAACACAACCAGTTGGAAAAAAATAGAATAGTAAGGCCAAGATCACAGAGTTGACCAATAGAAATAAGATTAAGGGTAAGGTTGGGTATAAGATAAGTGTGAGGGAGAGCGGGACATTAAAAGTAGAACTATGACCTATATGACTAACATACATTTGAGAGCCATCAACAGTGTGAATGACAAGTCATTTAGAAGATATAGTGGAAGAGAAAAGTGTAGGGTTAGAAGTCATATAGTTGCAACAAGCTGAAGCAAAATACCAAAAAAGAGGTATCTAGAGTGACTGAGAAAGTAGTAGAATGTGTACCAGAGGAAGAAAAAAAAACCTTTTTCACAATAACTTCAATGTCCTGAAGAATGTAAGTTGATGAAGGTTCAAGAGTATAGGCTGATCCAGGGTCAACTACAGTAGATGCAAAATGAGCAGAAGACTGATATCGACTATGTTATAGGCGATCCAAAAGAGTTACCATGCTAAGGAGAACGGTCCAAACGATCCATGGAGTGATCAAAGTATGAGTCACAAAGAGGGCCTAATGAGGTTGGAGGAGAACTGCTTAAAACGGGATGTACCAATGAATCTGGAGGATAAAAAATAACTAGGTAGTCCAGAAAATTGGCCTGTAGATGAATATATAAGCTAATGATGATGTCAACAATAGATAAGGCATGTCAGCGTGTGCGGC